CCGGCAATCCCAGCACTTCTGGGGGGCCAAGGTGAGAGGATTGCTTGAGCCCGCGGGTTCAACACCAGCATGGCAACATGCTGAGATCTCGTCTCTACAATAAATGAAAAAATTAGCTGGGTGTAGTAGCACACGCCTGTAGTTTCAGCTACTTGGAAAGCTGACGCGGAAGGTTCACCGGAGCCCAGCCGGTCAAGGCTGGTTGGCTGTGAGTATGCCACTGCACTTCAGCCTGGGTGATAGAGTGAGACTATGACTCCAAAAAAAAAAAAAAGAAGTTCTGGAATTCCACCTTTGCCCATTACTTAATAATGAAATTTTTGACAGGTTACTTCCTCTTACTGACCCTTAGTAGATGTGATTGGAATAGATGATATTTAAGACCCCTGCCAGTGCTAACGTTGTATGATTTAGCATAGTAGACCTGATTTCAGCTTCAAATTTTTATTGTGCATTTCTGGAAGTGTACATGCTTCATAAATTAAACTTGGTTGGTGCTCTTTAGTGAGGGTTCTTAAACCAAACTGAATGGGCATGCTGTCTTTATTTTTTTTTTTAGTAATTTACAAAAGATAAACTAGAGGTGGCCTGAAGGTGAAAGATGAAGAGGTGAGAGGAGATAAGAAGGGAAGGGGCAGATTTAACCACTTGTTGCCTGTTTCCTCATCTATAAAATGGGGATCATAATAGAACCTCCTCTTAGGATTGTTTGTACAAAATAAGTTGATATTTGTAGAATCCTTACAATAATGCCTGGTTTATACTAAGTGCTATGTAAGTGTTAGCTCTCATTATTATTTTAAGCCATCTGTATAACTGTTAAGGCCTGGGATATAATTTGAATACATCATATGCCCTAGGTAAAGGAAAAATCACAAATTTTGGAGGATTTACTGTTATTTACAGCATGTACAAAAGAACCTATATTCTGTAGAAATAAACATAATAAAGAGATTGCAAGATAAATTCCAGTATACATTAAATAAATTGTTTTAAGCATAGTTGCAGCCTTAGAGACTGAGATTAAATTTTTATAAATGATTGGGGTACTGTATTGAAGTACCCATGAGATTGACTGTTTAAGCTATTGTTTTTGTAGACATCAGTATCTCTAAAAATACATACTTTCTTATGTCTGTTACTTATATAGAATCTGAATTACCCAGAACAGAAAGTTGTGACTGTTGGACAGTTCAAAATTGGTTTGATCCATGGACATCAAGTTATTCCTTGGGGAGATATGGCCAGTTTAGCCCTATTGCAGAGGCAGTTTGATGTGGACATTCTTATCTCAGGACATACACACAAATTTGAAGCATTTGAGCATGAAAATAAATTCTACATTAACCCAGGTTCTGCCACTGGAGCATATAATGCCTTGGAAACGTGAGTAGTATCCGATTTGGGGGCCTTAGTATTAGTGATTGCATGTGTGACATTTCATAAAAGTTAAGTGTGACCATTTAAATAATCCAATTTGTCATCTTAAGTTGAAATTTATGGTGCTGCTTCTTTGTATTACAAAACACTGACATCATTTTTTTTTCTTCTAGAAACATTATTCCATCATTTGTGTTGATGGATATCCAGGCTTCTACAGTGGTCACTTATGTGTATCAGCTAATTGGAGATGACGTGAAAGTAGAACGAATCGAATACAAAAAATCTTAAAGCCAGAACTAACTTGATTTTTTTTTTTTCATTGTACTGTTGAAATCAAGTGATTAAACATTTAAGAGCCACAAAATTGTATCACTTTTATAATATTTTGCAGTAAAATATAATATTGTCTTCTCTGTTAATACATAATTGCTCTAAGCTTCTTGTAAACTATACGAATATATTTACATTATATGGCTTGTATGGAAATATGTCCACCATGCAGTTACTGGTCATGTGTTAAGAAAAATGTATCCTTGTAAATATCTTCAAAGTTGATCTTTGGAACTTTATTCCAAAAGTAGTGCATGAAGAGAAAGAACCTAGACTTTCTTGTATACATTTTTCTCTTCTCCAATAATAAATGTTTACCTTTCATTTATACTTTCTTGATAACTTGTGTTTAATTTTTAAAAACATAAACATGAGACCAAATGAAACTGCAGCTCTAAGTATTAAAATGAAGAGGTAGATGGTACTTTTTTCAACTTATTCAAGGTAGAAGAGGTAGATGAGCTGGCCTTTCAGAGCTCTCTTATAACATTCTCTGTTGGACTCAGATTTTACTTTCAAAATAATATGCCACATTGACATTAAATTAGCAGTGCTTCAATCTGTTGCTATTCCCATTTTTCAAGGTTTAACAACGTTTTCAAAAATAGGAGTCAGTGCCAGGCTCGGTGGCTCAGCCTGTAATCCCGCGCCTTTGGGAGGCTGAGTTGAGTGAATTGCCTGAGCCCGTGGGTTCAAGACCCGCCTGGCAGCGAGACCACATCTCTACAATAAATCAAAAAATCAGCCGGGCGTGATAGCGCATGCCTGTAATTCCGGCTACTTGGAAGGCTGAGGTGGAAGGATCGCTGGAGCCCAGCAGGTCAAGGCTGCGGTGGCCGGGAGTGGCCATTGCACTCCAGTCTGAGTGACAAAGTGAGACTCCAACTCAAAAAAAAAAATAGGAGTTAGCAGGAAAGCACACAAGAGTAATATATAATGTGAAGAATCTTCATTTGTGCAACTTCTGCCATTTTAATCTAGTTTGAGAGTCCAAGTATTTGGTATGGCAGTTTTCATAAGATAGGGCAAATCTGTATTTACATTTTAAGTTATATTCAGGTAGCAAATATTTACTGAACACCTACTTTACAAGTCAGAGCATTATCTCTGTCAGATGCTATCTATATCTGGATATTTCAAAGTTTTCCTTAGCCCAATCAAGAAAATACTTGTAGGATATTCTAATGTTGCTGTTTTAGGATTTATCGTAAACAGAGAAAGAAGGAATTATACAATGCATTTTTCAGATTTAAAGAAAAATAATTCAATTTCCAGTGACAAGAAAAATTTTAATTGTATCTAGCTAGAAATAGAAGCATATAGTATACATAAATTTTATTACATAAATACTGATACATGGAACTACATCAGACCAATTACATTGTTGCAAGTTTCCAAACAAACCAAAATTACTTAATGACTTAATGGTGACTAACAATATTGTCCTAAACATAGAGGACACAACTCACAACCCCTTCCCCCAACCTTTGGCATGAATTTATTACACAAGACTGTCAGGTTAACATCAGATGTTCTCCCTGTTCTTCAATTGACATCGACTGCATACACTTATTTAGTAAATCTTCTTCCTTTTTTTCTTCACTCATGTATGATTCGGAATCATTTGAAGAAACTGAAGGAAAAATAAGAGTTTATAATGTCTGTTTTGGAAATAAAATTCTAAATACAACTTTCAACATGACCTAGTTTATTAAGCCTAAAGCAAAGACAAATTGCCTGCAGTTTTCAAAACTCTTAAGTCACTTCCTACTCCCCACAAATTTCTCACTCTCTTAAGATATGCAATACTGTATTCTAGCCAAGTTACTACATAGCAAGTTCTCTAATACCAAAGTCCTATATTCCTGTTGATTTTCAAAATCTTGGCTGGGGGAAGTGAAAGTGGTCTGTTATATCTCCAATGCCTCTCCATTTTCTTTTTTTTTTTGAGTTGGAGTCTCACTCTGTTGCCCAGACTGGAGTGCAGTGGCACGCACCCGGCCACTGCAGCCTCGGCCTGCTGGGCTCCGGCGATTCTTCTGCCTCAGCCTTCCAAGTAGCTGGAACTACAGGCATGCGCCACCACATCCACCTAATTTTTTTTTTTTTTTTTTTTTGAGTTGGAGTCTCACTCTGTAGCCCAGACTGGAGTGCAGTGGCCGCTCCCGGCCACCGCAGCATCGACCTGCTGGGTTCCGGCGATCCTTCCGCCTCAGCCTTCCAAGTAGCTGGAACTACAGGTGCGCACTACCATGCCCAGCTAATTTTTTTATTTATTGTAGAGATGAGGTCACGGCAAGTGGCCTAGGCAGGTCTCGAACCCGCAGGCTCAGACAATTCACTCATCTCAGCCTCCCAAAGGTGCAGGATTACAGGCTGAGCCACCGAGCCCAGCTTTTCTGCAAAATTTTGATAGTATCAGCTGCTTGGCTCATCTCCATTGCTTTGCTGAATATCAAACAAAATGATATACAGTAGCCCCTCTTGATCCACAGTTTCACTCTCCGATGCAACAGTACAGTAAGATATTTTGAGAGAAACCACATTTATATACTTTTTTTTTTTTTTTTTTGAGTTGGAGTCTCACTCTGTCACCCAGACTGGAGTGCAGTGGCCGCTCCCGGCCACCGCAGCCTCGACCTGCTGGGCTCCGGCACTCCTTCCACCTCAGCCTTTCAAGTAGCTAGAACTACAAGCATGCGCTACCATGCCCGGCTAATTTTTGATTTATTATAGAGATGAGGTCTCGCCAAGTTGCCCAGGCAGGTCTCAAACCCGTGGGCTCAGGCAATTCACTCACCTCAGCCTTCCAAAGGCGTGGGATTACAGGCTGAGCCACCGAGCCTGGCTTCATATACCTTTTCATTATAGTATAACGTTACAACTGTTCTATTTTATTATTGTTACTCTCAATGTGTCTAATTTATAAATTAAACTTTATCATAACTATGTATTTATAGGAACAAAATGGTATATATAGGGTCCAGTACTATCTGAGATTTCAGGCGTCCCCCTGGATAAAAGAGTCTGCTGTAAGAGATATAGCCCTTTGTAAACTACAGATGCTATACAAAATATGTTGTCCATCAAAAATGGCGCTGTTTCATAAAAGGAGTGCTACTACTTGAAAAGGTCATGTTTGTGGTTCTGGGTTCTGACATTTCTGTTAAGCCTCTGACCTTGATATTATAAATATCTTTATTTAGAATTAGAAGTATCTTGAACCTCCCTTGAGTAGTGCTCTTTCAAATAAAAGCATGAACTATGTGTTTTTTATTTGGAACAATAAGAGCAAATCACATTCTAAATTTTTTAATATCTTCTTAATAGAAATGGAACTATAAGGAGTTTGAGACCAGTCTGGGCAACACAGTGAGACCCTGTCTCTACAAAAAATAAAAAATTAACTGGGTGTAGTAGTGCATGCCTGTAGTCCCAGCTACTCCTGAGGCTGACAGAGGAGGATCACTTGGGCCCAGGAGGTCAAGGCTGTGGTGAGCTGTGATCCTGCCACTGCACTCAAGCCTGGGTGACAGAGTGAGACCCCTACTCAAAAAAAAAAAAAAAAAAAAAAAAAAGGAACTATATTTGGTTTAGTATTTTTAAGCATAATATTTTCAAAAATGCTATTTTAAAAATTTCACATTTACCTGGTTGCATGGACACTCTGCTTGGTCTTCTAAAAATCTTCAGTGACTTACACCTTGTTTTAGAGACATATCCAGTTTTTAACCTATAGGAAAGGAAGTATCTTAATTGAAGCCAGCAAACTGAGTAGCTGCCTAGTGCGTGTGGAAGACCACACAAATTCTTTTTTATTAGCTACCAACATCACTGAAGAGACACTTTCAGCACCCTGAAATGCAAAACTGTTATAGTGCAGTTTCAATACTCAGTGCTTCTTAATTTCTTTTTCCTCTCCATTTTTGTTTTATAGTATTCCTCTGTGCAGAAGCAACCATATGCGTCTTTTGGACATGTCTGTATTATTTTAAATTTGAGTGGGAATCACACTGAAAAGGTCAGTTGTCCATATTTCTAGCTGATCAAGAAATTTTTATAATTCTACAAAATATATCCTAAAAGAAGTGGCATATTCTAACCAATGAAGTAAAGAGAAAGTATGAAAACATCCTTTTGTGCTTTTAAAAAATCCAGCCTATTCTGAATTTAGCAAAGTGGATACATGAGGGAACACAAGCTTTACTATCCCTTAGCTACCCTTCAAATAAAACTGGGATACATTTTCCCCCTTTTACATACTAAGAAACAGACCCTTCTTTGTTTCTCACTGATCGCCAAACAGAATGCTGTATGATCACTTCAGGTGCAGATGCAGAAAGCCCCGAGTCCCCTCTCTCGAGCTGGTGTCGCCACGTAGTACAGGGGTAATGCTGCTTCTGTGAGTACCGAGAGCTGAGGCGGCTTCTGTGATGAGTGAGGACACCTGTCATGCAAATCACCTTTGTTAGAAGACCCTCTCACTAATTGGGAAAACTCATGAGAAACCACCTGGAGCTACACCTGCCTGGCTTTTGTGAGCTGCGCTGAACCATATGCATGTATTGCCTTTTCATTAGCATCCTCAGGTAGTTCACATTGTAAATCTTAGCAATGTCACACAGATAATGCTTCTGACCTGTGGTGAGGTCTGGATGCTAAAAGACAGAAGAAGACAATTAACAGTCTGCATTGCAGAAGAGAAGTTGGCAATATTCCTTATCTGAAAAGAAGAATGTTCAGAATTGTACCACCTGTACATTTTACTTAAGCAAATTCATCTATGTTATCTTGGCCAAATGAGAAAAAAAGATGGCCATTTAAACAGTGCAAGTGGCTCTGCTTGCCATTCCAGATGCCCCCCTGTGAGGTTTGAGAACCCACTGTCCTAGAAAAACCAGGAAGAAGTGAATCTGCCATTCTATCAGTGTGGATTCCTTGCCTTCTCAATATGATTTTTGAAGTGTGACACGGAACCCAAAACAACCCATTACTCTCCTTAGTCCCAATAAAGAGACAGTCTCTTCCAGCACCAGAAGATTAACTGTATGGAGGGATATTATGTTGGTCTCTGATCTATGTAATTTTCACTGAGATTTTTACCGTACTTGCTAATTTTAGAAGTTAATGCTCACTTAAGATGCAAGACTCCACTATGTATTTGCATGTGTGTATACACACAGGATTTACTTTACTGAACAGGTACTAATTCCAGAGAAAAAGCAAAATGTCACTGCCGGGGCAGGAGGGGGCATGTAACATCAATAAGGGTGCCTGATCCTAATCCAGGGGAAGTGAGGTCCAATGGGAGACCCAAAACTTCGCCTATACCTAAACCACTTATGTCTGCAATCGTGACCTGTACCCCACAACTTTAAAATGAAATTAAGTTAAAAAGAAGAAAAATGTTGGAAAAATGTACCCTAGTTCACATTGCTCTAGAGATGCTACTTTTAGCAGATATGATCTTTAACGGGTATACAAGTCAACAGTTGTAGAATCCTTACTGCCTTCTTCATCTGCTTTCTTCTAAATATATAGTTCCTGAGTCAAATCTTTATGAGGTTGGGTTTCTATTTCTAGGATGGACCTTTTTTTGAGCATCTTTGTGGTTGGGGCATTGAGCTTCCTGAGTAAAGATACATTAGACCTGAAGTATTATAAAGTCCTGAAAGGACTCTTATGATAGGGGATCTATAATCTTTGCATTCATTCATAAGTTTGCCCAGCAGGTACTTATTGACTCCTTTCAACAATGTGCCAGATGTGCCTTGTCATCTGCAGTGCCTTACCCTCTAAGTAGCTTATCTTCAATAAAAAGTTCAGCTCTGAACCCAAAAGTACTGGTATTTAAATAATTTCCCTGTAAGCATACCTTTAGAAAAGATGTATCCATCATTGATTTAGGGAAGTTAACTGTTTGATTTTGAGGACTTTTCCATAACTCTTGCAGCTTGGCTATGTTTGATTTCATTTTGTATCCATCTTTGATTAGATCTGTATGAAAGGACATTACCATGTGAATTTCAGAGACAAAGATTAGCTCAACAAATTTAATTATTAAGATCTAGATATTTATATGTGTCAGTGATTATCCTGGAGTAGTATTGAATATCTTACATTGGAGTGTTAAATTTGAAGTCATTGTATGATATGTCATTTAGTCTTAGAGCATACAAACATCTAAGATATTTACAAATATTATATATATATATAATTATACATCATTATATACATTATTTTTTAATTTTTTGAGCTGGGGTCTCACTCCATGCCCCAGGCTGGAGTGCAGCAGCACAATCACGGCTTGCTGCAGCCTCGACCTCCTGGGTTCAGGCGATCCTTCCACCTCAGCCTCCCAAGTAACTGGGACTACAGGTGCATGCCATCATGCCCAGCTAATTTTTTGATTATTTGTAAAGAAGAGCTCTTGCTATGTTGCCTTCTCTGGTCCTGAACTCCTGGCTTCAAGCAATCCTCTTGCCTCAGCCTCCCAAAGTGCTGGGATTACAGTCGTGAGCTGTCGTGAGATACTGTGTTCTGGCTATTTTGAACTACATTATTTTAAACTCAGCTGAGATACAAAGTAACTTACTTTTTATCATGACAGTAACTTACTTTTTATCATGTCAGAATCATACTAAAGAGGAAATATACATGCAGGATTTGTGCTTTAAAGATTTACAACAGTATTTTATTATTCATTTGGGTCTCACTCTGTCAACCAGGCTGGAGTACAGTGGTACCATCATAGTTCAATACAACCTTGAGCTCCTGGGCTCAAGCAATTCTCCTACCTCGGCCTCCTGAGTAGCTGAGATTACAGGCATGAGTGACCATGCCAAGTTTTACAATTCTATTCTATATTAGACTCAAGACAGAATAACAAATTTTAGCTGGGCATGGTGGTTCCGGGTGCTTTGGGAGGCCAAGGCCATAGGATCATTTGAAGCCATGAGTTTGTACCAGCCTAGGCAATAAAGCAAGATATCATCTCTGCAAAAAAAAATTAAAAATCAGTCAGGTTATGGTGGCACGTGCCTGTAGTTCCAGCTACTCAGAAGGTTGAGGTAGGAGGATCATTTAAGCCCAGGAGTTCGAAGTTGCAGTGAGCTATGACTGCGCCACTACACTCCAGCCTAGGAGACACAGTGAAACCGTCTCTTAAAAAACAAAAAGAATAACACAAATTTTATCCCGTAGTGATATAGTGTTAAAATAAAGGACTTTGTAGAAATTTATCAAAAGTTATTTTTTGCCGGGCTCGGTGGCTCAGCCTGTAATCCCGCGCCTTTGGGAGGCTGAGGTGAGTGGATTGCCTGAGCCCGCGGGTTCGAGACCCACCTGGGCAACTTGGCGAGACCTCATCTCTACAATAAATCAAAAAATTAGCTGGGCGTGGTAGCGCGCGCCTGTGGTTCCAGCTACGTGGAAGGCTAAGGCGGAAGGATCGCCGGAGCCCAGCAGGTCGAGGCTGCGATGGCCGGGAGCGGCCACTGCACTCCAGTCTGGGTGACAGAGTGAGACTCCAACTCAAAAAAAAAAAAAAAGAAGAAGAAACCAAAAAGTTATTTTTACATAGTTTGTTATTTCATTGTTTTAAATACAGATGTGGGCAGAATCAAATAATAGTCTTTTAATAAAAATAAAAGTTGAGACATAGTCCCAGAAGAATGGGAATTGGTTTTCACTTTCAGATATATTGAGACTAGTAGTTTAGGGTATACGCTTCATTAGCAGTTGGGGAAAAACAATATCTGGCAAAACTTAATCAGGAAATGCCTCTTTTTAATACCTCCCTCCTCCCCCCACACTCCCTTCTCCAGACAACCACTGATAGCTTCCTATCACTATAGATTTGTTTGCATTTTCTTAAGTTTGATATAAATGGGAACATACAGTATGTATTCTTTTTTGGTCTGGCTTCTTTCATTCAACATAATTATTTTGAGATCCACCCATGCCATATGTATCAAATAGTTCATTATTTTTAGCACTTCTAAAACTACTTTTCATATACTTTAAGACAAAGCAAATAAGTAAATATATTGTGGTTAGTGGGAGCCAGGTTTCACACTGTTGGAGAAAGGAGTTACCTATTAATATAGAAAGAACCCTGTGTGTTAGACTGAAATTGGAGTTAGTGTGAGTTCATGGGTTTTAACATACATGTTAAGCAGAAATACAGAAATAGATGCATATATGTGTGGGTATGTATGAATGTGCTCACATATAGATAGATGCTCACACATTTCTTTCCCATGCACTGTCCTCAGAGAGCGCCTAGAGGCAATAATAATCTGTTATCAGTAAGCACATCTAGCCCAGATCTTGGTTTCTAGGTACTCTTCTCCACTAAAACTAAAACAGGAATCTGTATTAATTTTCTTTTGCTGCCATAACAAATTAACACAAAGGTAGTGGCTTTAACCACTTATCTCATAGTCCTATAGCTCAGAAGACTGAGTACAACATGATCAGCTGGGTCCCCTGCTTAGAATCTCACAAGGTTGAAATCAAGGCACCGGCTTGTCTAGGCCACTTATCAGGAGCCTGTGGTGGAGCATCTTCTTCCTGGTTCACTCAGGCTGTGAGCAGAATTCAGTTCCTTGCAGAACTGAGGTCTGTTTCCTTGACACATTGCCCTCTCCATCCTCAAGTCAACAAGGGGGTGTTGAGGTCTGAAATTTCTCCCCAGCATCTCTCTAGCTTCCTCTTCCCCTACATCTCTTTGGCTTCAACCAGAGAAACTTCTTTGTTTCTAAGGGCTTATGTGACTAGTGGGATCCACCTAAGCATTCAGTATAATGTCTCTTTTAAGGGCTGAAACTGACATATCTGCAAAGTTGCTCTTGCCATGTAATGTAACATATTTGTGGGTTACAGATTAGAATGCGGATACTTTTGGGAACTATGCAGCCTACCACAAGCTCCTTGGAGAAATGACTGATGTCAAGGCTAAAACAGGGACAGTACAATGTTTTGTGCCAAAAGATAAGAAAGTACTCAAAGGATAACAGAAGGAAGAGAGCCCAAAAGCCATCTCTGAAGAGCTCTCACTGGCCAAATCTGGGACTGAACATCAAAATAAACAATATAGGCCAGGCGTGATGGCTCATGCCTGTAATCTCAGCGCTTTGGGAGATCAAGGGGAGAGGACTGCTTCAGCCCAGGATTGAGACCGGTGTAGGCAACACAGCAAGACCCTGTTTCTACAAAAAAAAATAAAGAAAGCAATTAGCTGGGCATAATGGTATATGCCTATAGTCCTAGTTACCAGGGAGGCTGAGATGGAAGGATCGCCTAAGACCGGGAGGTTGAGGCTATGATGAGCTGTGATTGTGCCACTGCACTCCAGGCTGGGCAACAGAATGAGATACTGACTCTTTTGATTTATTTTATTTTATTTTTTAAGTTTATTTTATTTTTGAAATTAATTTTAAAAATAAAAATTAAAAATATACAGCAGATTTAAAGTAAAGAATTCAACCTATTGAATAAAATAAACTATTTGTTTTGTTTTGTTTTTAACTTGGGTTTCACTATGTCACCCGGGCTGGAGTGCCATGGCATGATCACAGCCCCCACATCCTAGGCTCAGATAACTCTTCCTCCTTAGTCTCCCAAGTAGCTGGGACTACATATGCATGCCACCACACCCAGCTAGTATCTTTATTTTTTTTAGCGACGAGGTCTCAATATGCCTATTAAATAAAGTAACCTATTGAATAAAGTAAGAACACTGATATATAAATGGTTGATAAAGGAAAGCTCTTCTTTACATATAGAAAGCCATCTTGAAAATGTAGAATGAAAGCCAGGCTCAGTGGCTCAGCCTGTAATCCTGCGCCTTTGGGAGGCGGAGGTGAGTGGATTGCCTGAGTCCGCGGGTTCGAGACCCGCCTAGGCAGCAAGACTTCATCCCTACAATAAATCAAAAAATTAGCAGGGCGTGGTAGCGCGCGCCTGTAATTCCAGCTACTCGGAAGGCTGAGGCAGAAGGATCGCCGGAGCCCAGCAGGTCGAGACTGCAGTAGCCGGGAGCAGCCACTGCACTCCAGTCTGGGCAACAGAGTGAGACTCCAACTCAAAAAAAAAAAAAAAAAAAATGTAGAATGAGTGACGGAATTAGAAAAATCACCTATTTCTAGCCATCATAATAATAAAGGATTTAGTAAAAATGGATGACAAAACTAATGGATGAGTTTGAGGAGTAATAGGATATATACACAGACTCAACGCGTATCCCCACAATATACCTTTACAAAAGGTAAAATAGAGAGCCGGGCTCGGTGGCTCAGCCTGTAATCCCACCCTTTGGGAGGCTGAGGTGAGTGGACTGCCTGAGCCCGTGGGTTCGCGACCCGCCTGGGCAACTTGACGAGACTTCATCTCTACAATAAATCAAAAAATTAGCTGGGTGTGGTATCACGCGCCTGTAGTTCCAGCTACTGGGAAGGCTGAGGTGGAAGGATAGCCGCAGCCCAGCAGGTCGAGGCTGCGGTGGCTGGGAGCGGCCATTGCACTCCAGACTGGATGACAGAGTGAGACTCCAACTCAAAAACAAAACAAAACAAAAACAACAAAAGGTAAAATAGTAACTTTATAGTGATGAACCTGGCAGATGTTAACACTGTCAGTAAGGGACTCATCCACAGCAGGGTCTCCTGATATGTATAATAAGCCACCTCTGTGGTATCCGTGTGAGAAGCAAGTCACCTTAACCTTATCAGGAGGACACATCAAACAAACCCAGGTTGAGGGAAATTCTACAAAAGACCTGGCCTGTTTCTTCAAAAATATCAATACCACGAATCACAAAGACTCAGGAATTGTTCCAGATAAGAAAGCTAAGAAACATGATAACTGAATGCTATGAATGAACTTGGATTTATTTTTTATTTTTATTTTATTCTTGCTATGAAAGACACTATTGGTACAGGCCAATTGTAGTGGCTTGCACCTATAATTCTAGCACTTTGGGAGGCTAAGATTGCTTGAGCCCAGGAGTTCAAGATCAACCTGGGCAATATAGCAAGACCTTATCTTTAAAAAAAAAAAAAAAATTAGTCAGGTGTAGTGGCATGTGCCTATAGTCCCAGCTACTCAGGCGGCTGACGCAGAAGGATTGCCTGAGTCCAGGAGTTCGAGGGTAGGGTAAGCCATGGTCATACCACTGGACTCCAGCCTGAGTGAAAGAGTGAGACCCCAACTCAAAAGAAAATTGTATCTAGATTCGCTGCCAGGAATTGGTTGTACTGTTTATTTTAAATAACAGAATGACAACTTAAGTCCAAATACAGAGGAAAACAAAGCACTTGTCGAACACTTGCCCTTTTCCCCTCCAATTATAAGCAGTAGTACACATTGCTTGTTGTAGATTTGTGAAGTACACTAAGTGTAAAAAGAGAAAATAAACTTTAATCCCACTATCTAATAGTAATTATAATAATTATTATTGCCAGGTACAAAAGGTGGCTCATGCCTATAATCCCAGCACTTTGGGTGGTGGAGGCGAGAGGATTACCTGAGCTCAGGGGCTCGAGACCAGCCTGAGCAACATGGTGAGACCTCATCTCTACAATAAATCAAAAAATCAGCCAGGCATGGTGGCACATGCCTGTGGTTCCAGCTACTTGGAAGGCTGAGGTGGAAGGATTGCCGGAGCCCAACAGATGACAGAGTAAGACTCCAACTCAAAAAAAAATTAAAAATAAAGTAAAAAATTATTAATATTACTATTATTATTAGCCAGGCACAATGGCTCATGCCTGTAATCCCAGCACTTTGGGAGACTGAGGTAAGAGGAATACCTGAGCTCAGGGGTTCAATACCAGCCTGAGCAACATGGTGAGACTTCATCTCTAAAATAAATCAAAGCCAGGCTCGGTGGCTCAGCCTGTAATCCCAGCATTTTGGGAGACTGAGGTGAGTGGATTGCCTGAGCCCGTGGGTTCGAGACCCGCCAGGGCAACTTGGCGAGACCTCATCTCTACAATAAATCAAAAATTAGCTGGGTGTGGTGGCGCACGCCTGTAGTTCCAGCTACTTGGAAGGCTGAGGCAGAAGGATCGCCGGAGCCCAGCAGGTCGAGGCTGCAGTGGCCTGGAGCGGTCACTGCACTCCAGTCTGGGCGACAGAGTGAGACTCCGACTCAAAAAAAAAAAAATTAAAAAATAAAATTAAATAAAATAAATCAAAAACTTAGCTGGGCGTGGTGGCACGTGCCTGTAGTTCCATCTACTTGGAAGGCTGAGGTAGAAGGATTGCCGGAGCCCAGCAGGTAGAGGCTGTGATGGCCGTGAGCATGCCACTGCACTCCAGCCTGAGTTACAGAGTGAGATTCTGACTCAAAAAAAAAGCATAGTAGTACACCCACACCTCTAAGGTCAGTTACCACCACTTCTTTTCCCAAGGAAAAAAAGCAATTAGTAATAAGTCTTTGAGGGACTGTCTTACTCTCTTAACTCCAGCAGAGAAGAGATGAGGACTTTGAAGTGCTATCCTTTATTTCAAATGAGAGGAAAATAGCACTGAGAAATATTTTATGTTCTTTGAAGCTGTTCAACTTAGAATTTTTCCCTTTAGTCCATGTATATACACCAGCCTGTGACTGTGCTTTTCAACCACCATCAGTTATAAATACAATTCTTTTAGGATTCATTACTAATTTTTAAAGTGCTTGATATAAGATATTACTATATTAACAAAAGACAAAAAACATGCTAGATTGCACTTTGAAATCTTAAAGACTAAGTTCACCAAGGATGCTAATAAAGTCTATTTTTAAAACTCCATTGTGTAAGTAGTTCCAGGCAAACTGGCTTCTCTGAACCATGTTATTTATAGGTGTTAACAGATTTGTATGTGCTACTCACCAGCACTCCTGGAATTCTGGTAATAAGAATATCCAGCTGATCTGTTAAAAAAAAAAAAAGCATATAAACAATATGTAATTAGCACTGAAGAACATATTTCAAATGAAAAAATGGTAGTATTGCATATGCTTTTTACTTTTCCTGTTTCCATCAGACATATGTCTTACAAATTTTCTCCTACAATTATGGTTAAATTCTAATGGCTCCAAGATTTTTCAAAGTCGGTTATCCGAGTTTTTTTTTAAACCATACTATGAAAAGGACTTATATAAGCCAAATTTGGTCTTAATTTTATGCTTACAGCTTCCTAAGCAAACTCCTACAGTGAGCTCAATGAAATAGTTTGGGCTCCTGTACTATTCGTGATATTTTCTTGCTGTCTTTATTTTTAGTAAATAATTTGGTCGGGCGCAGTGGCTCACGCCTGTAATCTACCATTTTGGGAGGCTGAGGCAAGAGGATCGCCTGAGCTCAGGGGTTCGAGACTAGCCTGGGCAACTTGGCGAGGCCTCGTCTCTACAATACATCAAGAAAAATTAGGCGGGTGTGGCGGCGATTGCCTGTAGTTCCAGCTACTAAGGATGCTGAGGCGGAAGGATCACCTGAGCCCAGCAGGTCGAGGTTGCGGTGGCCGTGAGCGTGCCCCTGCACTCCAGTCTGGGCGACAGAGGGAGGTTCCAACTCAAAAAAATAAATTGGCTGGGCTCGGTGGCTCAGCCTGTAATCCCAGCACTCCGGGAGGCCGAGACGAGAGGATTGCCTGAGCCTGCGGTTTGAGACTAGCCAGGCAACTTGGCGAGACCTCATCTCTTAAAAAGATAAAAACAAATAAAAATTAGCCAGGAGTGGTAGCGCGCACGCGTATAGTTCCAGCTACCTGGAGGGCTGAGGCGGAAGGATGGCCGAAGCCCAGCAGGTCCAGGCTGCTGTGGCCGCGAGTGTCCCACTGCACTCCAGCCTGGGCGACAGAGTGAGACTGCAACTCAAAAAACCCCCCAAAACAAAAAGAAATAAATAATAATTATAAAAAGAATTTGAGTATTGAAAAGACTATCCCCCTTTTTAAGAAAAAAAACCAAACACCCTGTTTTTTACAGGGTTAAAAGAAGAGTATCTTGGTCGGGCATGGTGGCTCACACCTGTAACCCCAGCACTCTGGGAGGCTGACACCGGAGGATCGCTTGAGGCCAGGAGTTAGAGCCGCGGCAACAAAGCGAGACCTCGTCTCTTATTTAAATTTTTTTTGTTAAGACCACCTTAGATGAATAAGTGTGCTCAAACGGATAAGCTGGTCCTCCGTGCTTCTAATTTTGTGCGCGTTCTGTTCTCCCGTCCCTCCAGTTAAGCCACAACCCCCTTCCTCCCCGCTTCCAGGGCCGGGGGTTCGCCGAGGCCCCGACGCCCCGGAGCCAGCGGCCAGGGGGACCCCAGCCCAGCCTCCGCCATCGGGAAACAGCCCACGCCTGCCCCGAAGGAGCACGATTCGTGAAGAAAGGGACTTCGGCGCCAAGAGCGATGTCGGGGAGCCTCCGACAGCGCAGAGCCCTCGGGGTCCCCGGCCGGA